TGCCAGCACCCCCCCCCTGCATTGCTCCGTGTGAGAAAGGGGAGACGAGACGGGTTTAAAAAAGGGTTGTGGAGCGGAAGGAGCGACATCCTTGAGCCCTGCCAGAACCAGCCGCCTCATTGCTCTGCGTGAAGGGGAGGTTGCGGGTGATGCGGATGAGCAGGGGGGAAGGGGGAAGGCAATCACATTGCTCCATGTGTGTGGGGTGAGGAGGGAGGAGGGAACGAAAATCTCCTTCAGCACTGCACTGCTCCAGCAACACCCACCCACGCATTGCTCCATGGGTGTTGGGAGGAGGGAGGAGTTCAGTGGGGGGAGGGGGGAGAAAAAGAAAGGGGGATGTGAAGGGTAAAGAGGGGATGGGGAGGGGAATGGGGGATGGATTGGGGGGAGGGGGGATGGGAGGCTGCGAATGGCTTACTTTAAGGGGAGTGTACCTGGAGGGCGTCCTTCTGAGTCCTGAGAGGCCCTGACTTTTAACCGCATGATGCCTTTTTCCTCCCATAGCCATCCTCTCCCGCCCCCCCCCCCCCCCCCCCCCCACGCCAATTCCCCCTCCCACCTGCTGCTTGCACCACCTGCTGCATTCCTTGCCTGTTGCTTGACTCCCTGCTGCTTGCCTCACCTGCTGCTTGCCTCACCTGCTGCTTGCCTCACCTGCTGCTTGCCTCACCTGCTGCTTGCCTCACCTGCTGCTTGCCTCTCCTGCTGCTTGCCTCTCCTGCTGCTTGCCTCTCCTGCTGCTTGCCTCCATCCACGCCAATGTAAGTAGTCGGCTGAGTTTGCCGTTTACCGCACTGCTCTCCTCCCTTTTTCTCTTTCCCTTCCTTCAGCTCTCCTCTCTTCTCCTCCCCTCCCATCTCCTTCCCTCTCTTCTCCACTCCTCCCGTCTCCTCTCCGACCTTCTCTCCTCCCTTCCTCTTCCCTCGCCTACCCACTCGTTTCCCATCCACCTCAACTCCAGCATGTTCACTCTCCCCTCCATTCTCTCCCTCCTGCGGCTCTCCCGCGCACTCCGCTTCCTCATCTCCCGCCGCCTCCCATCCTCCCCCCTGCCCTCCATTCCACCCTCCCCTAATCTTACCAATCTCACTCCCCCCTATGACCCTTCCCGCGCTTTTTCCACTCCAACCACCATGGCAGCAAGCCCCCTTGCACGCCTCTCATGCTTCACCCATCCCGTGCCTCCTCCATTCCTCCCACCATCGCCATACCATTCAGAAGTTGTCTTCGGTTCTAGAGGAGATAGGGTTCAGGGCGAGTGCATGTGACGAGGGCCTTTTCCTCATGGGGGAGAGGGAAAGCCTTGTCATGTTCCTGGTGTACGTGGACGACATCCTCTTGTTTGGGAGCAGCAAGCAGGAGGTGATGAAGGTGCAGCAGAAGCTGATGCAAAACTTTATGTGCAAGACCCTGGGGGAGGTGAACTACTACTTGGGAATGCATATTGAGAGGGATGTCAGCAATGGATGGGTGAAGCTGCACCAGGAAAAGTACATCAACGACATGGGAGGAAGATTACCACACCTCTTCCATCCGGATTCAAACTCATCAAAGCCGGTGAGAATGAAGGAGTGGATCAGCGGGAGCAGGCTCGTTTTCAGTCCATGGTGGGGAGCTTGCTCTATGCAGCGGTACACACCAGGCCGGACGTCTCTTTTGCTGTGGGGCAGCTGGCTAGGGTGGTGCAAAATCCCACCGAGGAGCAGGTGGATGCAGCAGACCGCATCATCCAGTATTTGAACTCCTACCCCACCGTTGGAGTTCAATACTCAGCCGTGGCTCAGATGAAGCAGAAAGGAGCAGAGGTTCTCAAGGAGAAGGGGGAGCAGCTCGGGGAAAGGGAGTTATTCCTCACGGGGTTTGCTGATGCAAGTTGGGCTTCGGAAAAGGAGGATATGTCCTCAGTCGGAGGATATGTGTGCGTGATTCGTGGTGGGCCCGTGAGCTGGAGGTCAAAGAAACAGGTGGAAACGGCGGGTTCATCAGCTGAAGCAGAGTACATGTCAATGTACCATGCAGCCAAGGAACTGATTTGGCTGAGGAAGCTGCTGGAGGAGATAGGACATGAGCAGAAGATTGCCACACCGCTGTTTTGTGACAATTCCAGTGCCATTGCAATGTCCAAGAATGCTGTGCTTCATGGGCTCACCAAGCACATGCAGATCAAATGGCATTGGCTGCGCAAGGAGGTGCAGAGGGGATCCATCCAGCCTCTCTATGTGAAAACGCAGCAGCAGCCGGCAGATTTTCTCACGAAGCAGCTTGCTGAAGAACCCCACTGGCGCTGTGCTATGCTATGCGGCATGAGCCTTAATTAGGCTCACGCAAAGGGAGTGCAAGCAGGCGACTGCTTGAGGGGGAGTTTGTTGGGTGCAAAATACTATTTTTGCACTGCAACCAGGCGCCTGCATGATGTTATGCATTTTGTGTATGTTCTGTGTGCATTCGTTTTCGCATTTCGTTTCGTGTGTTGTTGCTGTGGGATTATGATCGGTCGTGATAGATCATGACGAGTCATGTCCGTTCATGTCGGCTCATGTCCGCTCATGTTTGTTTTCATCGACGAACATGTGCGTTCATGAATATTCTGTGCTTCATGGAGGTTCTGTGTTTCATGAGTGTCGAATTGTTTTCATGAGTGCTGTTGTGAGTGTCGAGTGTGTTTAAGTGTGGGGCTTGATTGTTTGACCAGCCCCGTTGACCATTTCGCGCTGGTCAATAAAAAGGTGTGCGAAGTCAGGACCCACGTGTGGGGTCCTGACACGCGCGTATGGTTGTGCAGGGCCCACGCGTGTGTCGTCACTGTTTCGATCGCACAAAGTGCGCACGGTCGATACAAGACGGAGCGACATGATCGCTCCGTCACGCGCAGGACAACGCACGATCGCGTCAGAGATCGTCTTGTCCTGCACGACCGAGAAATATCTCGGTCGTGATGAGGGGCACGTGGGTCACGTGGGACATGCGAGACTTCGCAGTTGACTAACGGAATTTTCGCGCTGACTCGGCGAGCAGGAAAATTCGCCAGAAAGTAGCGCTGCTTTGCGTCATTATTTCGACAGAGGTACAAAACGGTAAAATCCGTTTGTAATTGAAAAACGGGAATCTCACACGGGCGTTCAAGATCGCACACGAGTAAGCATGAATGTTCGCGAGGAGAGTCAGCAGGAGAATTTGGCAGCAGTGCAAGTTGAAGACAGTTATTCTACAGCGGCAAATCAAGCCAAATTCTAAAGCACTTTTACAACAGTTTTTCAATGACAGCAAAGCGAAGACCTGGATGACAGTTAGACAACTGTTTTGTGTGTTTTCCTTTGTGCACCTAGGACCTCTCTTCATTAACAATGCTTTCATGATTTCAAGCATACATTCTACTACTACGTATTGACGAGAGTAGAAGTGCAACGTAGTGCTGCCGAAACTCTGCTCAACCAGAACACTCACTCTACAAGCTAAGCTTGGCATAACTACTCACTTGGTTCACAAGTGATGTTAAGTGTTGCCTGGTTTATGTTTGTGGTTCTGAGTTAATTCGCTTCCGCATAGTACTTAGACTTAACAAAAGTAGGTCTGAAACTCAGACAATCAGACAAGAAATCTCTAATAAAGAAGATCTTGGTAGGTGATGAAGATGGTTGGGTGGTCGACGTGTCAAAGTTGACGGGCATGGCACTTGACTGCGTGGCACCGGTAACATCCAAATATGGTCTTGATGATGCGGTCTCCCTCAAGATCAAAGTGAATATTTTATAAGAATAAATGGGAAAGGGGAAAGAGGAAAATAAGTGAAGAAGGAAAGAGATAAAGAGTGAAGAAGAAATGCAATAAAGGAAAGGAGAGAAGGAGGATAGAGAGGAAGGAGGGAAGCGGGAAAGAAGGAAGGAGAAAATGTGAACTTGAAATAAGAACGAACACAAACAGAAAAGGAGGAATACATGGAAGGAAGGAAGGAGGAAAGGCGGGAAGAACGGAAGGAGGGAAAGAGAGAAAGAAGGAAAAAATGTGAACGAGCATGAATAATGGTGAAACATTAAAATCATTAAAACAATTTGAAGCGTTGTAAAACATCTATATACCTTTACGAGCCAACGACCCAACGACCTCGAAGAGCGTCCAACATGAGTTGGCGCTTATCTGAGGGCAAGGAGTGAAAAATGGACATTTGAAGATGTGGGATTACTTTGGTCAAGATGCTCGGTTGAATCACCAAGCCATGTGCTTGGGCCCTATATGACGGTGAACAAACAAAAAAGACATCAAAACAAAACGCAATTGTTAGAATAGGAGGCTAAGTAAAGCCTAGGTTTAAGTGAGGGCCTAGGCTTAGTAGCCTAGGCCAAGGGAGTCGAGGTAGTTTGTGCCAAGGAGAGAGGAATGGGAATGGTGTTCACTATAGCACTAGGGTACATATAGCAAACAAAGAGGTGCACCACCTATAAAGTTAATATCTACACTACAGCTAGAACTACATGCAGGTATAAGAATATAATTCTGACATCCCCCCGTAACTGCATGCAGGAATAGCTAAGTGCAGAACACAACCTGCAGAGGTACACCACAGACAGAGAAAACAGCAACAGCAGATAAGGCAACAGAGCAGGTACAGCAGCAAAGGGGCAGGCACTCCTGCCACCCCTTTACTCTCCTCCCCCCCCCCCCCCACTTCAGGAGGGGCGGCTGGATGGTCTCACACCCGCCAACCCAGTGCCACTCCCCTGGCTCCCCCACACCCGCACACCCTCCCCCTAGCGGCAGCTGCAGCAGTGGGAACGAAAGGAGGAGGAGGGGAAGGGAAACACACCACCCATCACCCCCACACCCGCCACCCCCAGACCCTCCCCCCACGGCTGCAGGGAGACGAAGGAGGTGGGGGGGGATAAAGCCGCAGAGCGGCTACAGAGGTCGGCGCGCTGTAGGGCAGGGGCGGCTGCAGCGAGTGCAGGCGCGGGGTGAGGTAGAGGCACCGTCGCGGGCGCTAGGGGCGGGTCCGCGGCAGCTCAGGGCACCGTCGCGGGCGCCAGGGGCGGGTCCGCGGCGGCTCAGGGCACCGTCGCGGGCGCCAGGGGTGTTAGAGACTAAGGACGGAGACTAAGGACGGAGTCTAAACCATTTTTTGGGGGCCTGTTAAAAATGCCCATAATGGTGATAATGGCCATAATGCCTGCCGAACTGGGCCTAGAATTCCCAGCGGGCCAACATGGCCTGCTGGTTAAATTTTGTAGGGGTACACAGGACTCGCGATTCAGTGAGAGCTGGGAGGGCAACAGTGGGACGTCCGATAGTGGCTCGATAGCAGAAGCGACGGGCAGGGCAACAAGAGATTGACGACGGCAAATTCGCGATGGCGGAGAGCCGCGAGAGCAGAAGCGCGAGGAGTAGCGACAATGGCGGATGGGGCAAGGACGGGCATGTAGGAGGCAGCGGTGGAGACAGCGGCGGCGGCGGTGGTGGCGGAGGCAACAGCGTCGCTGCGAGCAGCACAGGTTGGAATGGCGGCGGCAGCGGCGCGAAGAGGCGGTGGAATCTCGCGCCAGTCGCGCTCCCTCTGGATCACTTCCTCGCCGCCGCCACCGCCGCCCCCGCTGCCGTTCCGGCTGCGAGTTCGAACCTATCGCGGCCTCTGCGAGAGTCGGCGAAAATCGGTATTGTGCGCCAGCTGCGGGGGAAACACAGATGAGGGCAGCATCCACGGGCGGCCGCACGGAGGAGGAAGGGGAGGCGCAGGGAGGGGAGGGAAATAGGGGGATACTGGCGCTAATAATTCTGGTTTTGCCGAAAAAGGGGGAGCAGGAGAGCGGAGGAGGGGAGAAAGGGCAGGTGGAGAGTGGGGAAAGTGCGGGAAAGAGGTTAGGGGAGAGAGTGCGCTCAAGGGGCGCAGGGAAGGGCGCGGGGAGGGGCGGGTGCGGGTGAAGTCAGCGGCGGCAACGGCGGCGGAGGCAGCAGCGTTGCTGCGAGCAGCACAGGCCAGAGCGGCGGCGGCAGCGGCGGCGGCGTGAAGTGGCGGTGGAAGCCTGCTCCGGTCGCTCACTACCTGGATCGTCTCCGCCATCCCTGCTGCGAGCGCCCCTCTACCGCCGCCTCCGTGAAAGTTCGCGGAAGTGGAGAAGGAAGCAATGACGGGCGGTCGGTCGCGCGGAGGGGGAAGGAAAGGCGGAGCGGGAAGAGGAGGCACAGGGAGGGGAGGGGAGAAGTGAGAATGCGGGCGCGAGTGGCTTGGGTTTGGCGGCAACGGAGCGAGGGACAGGAGAAGGCGTGGCAGGGAAAGCATGCGCGGAAGTTGAAGGGCGGAAGAGGGGAGAACCGGCAGGCGAAGGGGTGGGGAAGTGTGCGATAGAGGGAAGGGGAAAGAGCGCGCACCAGGAGTAAGAGGACGAGCGCAATAAAGGGCGCAAGGAGGGCCGCCAGTCGGGGAGCGGGGGGAAACCCGGAGGATGAGAGGGTGAACGCAGCGACGTGGGAGAGCATGGGTGTGAGGCGGGGAAGGAGAGGCAGACTGGTGGTGCTGGCGAGACAGGCGCGGGGGATGGGTGGAGCATGAGAGGCGTGCTGTCGCAGCAGCGGGGTTGGGAGAGCAAAGAGCGGGGAGAGGGGAGGGAGGGGTTCGAGAGGGGGGAGGGTTGGGTTGGGTCAGAGGGGGGTGTGATGGAGGGCAAGGGGGGTGATAGAAGGGCGACATGAGAGGTGGATTTGGAGTGCAGGGGAGAGGCAAGAGAGGGGGGGAGAGAGTGGATGGGAGCCAGATGGATGACAAACGAGTGGGTGGGAGGAGGCGAGAGAGGATAATGGGAAGAGGAAAGGGAAGGGGGGAGAACCGAGGGGAGCAGAAGGAAGCGAGGGAAAAGGCAGACTCAGCCAACCACTTACACTGGCGTGGACACATGCAGCAGGTGAGGCATGCAGCAGGTGAGGCATGCAGTAGGTGAGTCATGCAGCAGGTGAGGCATGCAGCAGGTGAGGCATGCAGCAGGTGAGAGGAGGAGAATTCGAGGTGACTCAATAGCACCTTGTGAAACAGAGGCGGGCTCAGTGGACCACGGATGCGAGGAGGCATGGGGTGCTTTATTGTTTTCACAACCACCCTGATGACTTCCTAGTCGATCCAACAACAAAGGCGATTCCAGCCATACATTGGCGAGGAGGCAAGCAGCAGGTGAGGCATCGAGCTGACCACTTGGTACCTACCGAAAACCAGCCCCCGAACACCAACCACAGAATAAGAAGTGGTTTGATGCATCGAGCTGTTTTTGTTTTACTACTCAAACAGCTCAGCCCCACTGCTGATGAACCATGGCGCTGTGTGCCATGACCATGACAAACCCATGTTCTCAGCCCATGCCAAACCAAACCCATGTTCTCAGCCCATGCCAAACCAAACCCATGTTCTCAGCCCATGCCAAACCAAACCCATGTTCTCAGCCCATGCCAAACCAAACCCATGTTCTCAGCCCATGCCAAACCAAACCCATGTTCTCAGCCCATGCCAAACCCATGTTCTCAGCCCATGCCGCCAAACCCATGTTCTCAGCCCATGCCAAACCTATGTTCTCAGCCCATGCCAAACCTATGTTCTCAGCCCATGCCAAACTTATGTTCTCAGCCCATGCCTCGAACCTTCACTTGAGACGACTAATGCGATGGTGAACATGAAAGGCAGGGCTGTGAGTCTTCACATGAGGCGCCTCTAGACTCGCCTTGGCTGTCCTCACATCACATCCCATCCCCTGTCTTTTTTAAGATTCCTGGCGTAATTTGTAAAAGGAAAGAAAGACATGGTAAAGTTGGCTTACTTTTGGAAGGATGACCCTTCGTCCAGAAACAGATCACACCACACCAACTTAGTTAAAGATTGAGGGCAAATGGATACAGCAATAGAATTCTAAGTATGAGGTTAAAGTAGAATGCAGTGCGATGAGATGGGTGTCAGCATGACACAGGGAAACTCACGGGGTGATGCAGGGCATGACAGCAGCGAAGCGCAGCTGCTGCCAATGCTGGTACCTGCGCACTTGCAATTTCACCAGGTCCCTACTGGAGATGGCTTCCGCCGTTTGGAGAGGCGACAGAGCAGGTGGGGAGACGACGGGTCGTTGCCTGGTACGTGGTTCAGGCAGTTCTTCTGGGCGCAGTGGTATGGTGGCCGGCAGGGTGGGTCAGGTCGGTGTCACGCTGACAACTGAAAGAAAACAAACAAGACGCTATCATGGCCGCATGCTTCACAACTGAGGCCTGATGGTGTGATGCAGCCAAAGATCAGTTTATGAGGCGAGCTCAGAGCTCGAGAGTGACATGGTAAGAGTTGTAGGCGGGAGAAACTGGATGACGAGCGGCATGAGGTCGATGTCTGACATGGCTGCATCAACGACAATGTCCAACTTCTTGCCACGTGCACTGTACCCTATCAGCCTGCGGCCCAGAAAAAGGTAAACGGAGTAGTTGATGCCTAGGAACAAAGCCTATGTAATGGCTTTGGAAATTGCACGCTCGTTCTTCCCCTCAACCCCCTTCCTCCCTTCCTCTCCCCTTCTTCCCATGGACGCAGTAGTCATCGAGCGGATCTCCTCATCTCCTCATCCTTGGTGTAGGCCTGCATGCGCTGCTTCGCCTCCTGCATGCGCTGCTTCACCTCCTGCATGCGCTGCTTCACCTCCATGTACGACAGCTGCCAGCAGCTCGGCGCCAGCTGCATCTCCCTCTCCCCCCCCCACCGTGCACTCCGCTATCCTCTAGAGCACTCTAGCGAGAAGGAGGACCACAGATGAGAAGCCTGAGAGACTTCTGGATGCTAAGGCGGTGCATGCGTTAAGCAGAAGTCCTTGGGTTGTTGAAACGCTACCTTGGTGCTCAAATGGAGTGGAAGGAGAGTGACCTGAGGCAAAGAGAAAGTAATGTCGAGTGGGTCACGCTCGATTGGAGCACTCACATCAGCGATCGCCACTTGCCGCAACCTCTTGGCTATCTGTAGTGGAAGCAGCACAACGACTCAGATCACGGAAGTGTACAGCCAAGCGTGACTTGAAGGCGCTGAAAATTAGACCTTCATTTAGGCCCAGCAGGCTGTAGCACTGACCTGCTGCCTCCACCTATGTCGCCCCCGACATGCCGTCCACCTCATCCATGATCACAGCCGCTCGATCCACCTGCTGCTACTGTTGCTACTGCTTGCCCCTCCAACAGCCCACATGTCACACTGCTTAGTCCACCAGAACAATGTATGGTCGCCATAATATTGAGACTACGCGATCGTGCGCAGACAGGCGCATGTCCTGAATGGTCAAACATATACGAGGGGTAGGTGAGGGGATTGCAAGGGCTGAGGAGCGATAATTGGTGGTGGCGGAGATGAGATGGGGGAGAAGCGGAAAGTGGTATTGGAAAATCATCTTTCTGATGGACGTGGCACCACCCAAGCCCTTGCGGATCTTGGAGTCTGACTTTTCTCAATATTAACTGACGTTTACCTGGTGGGAGCGGGGAATGTGGTGGAACAACGGTGATGCCTTGCCATGACACACACCAAGGTGCACACCAAGTGACTTGAGCAAGCCGTTGCAAGCAGCAAACCAGCAAGCTACGGTAGTGTGAAGCCACTGTCCCATATACACTCCTTGACATGCGAGCTACTTGCTCAGTGCTGAGGCACAGCACAGCAAGCTTCAACAAGACACACCTCAAGAGGCGAGAAACCAAGCTCGGCTGATAGCCGACAAGACGAGCTGTAGTGGTTTTGCCAATGCCCAGCCCTCCATTAGCAGTACGGCCTCATTGTTCATGTCAAGGCTCCCAGTGTTCCTCGCATCACATCCCTGCCTTGAACCATCCAAGGGTGTGATGTGAGGAACCATCCAGGTACGCCCACCAGCTTTTGAGTCGACTCAAATGCACACCAGGTGGCGGTTGTTTGCACTGGACCTGAGCACACTGCTGGCTCAACCCGCTTTCCTCCTTTCTACCTCTCCCTGCTGTTCTCCACTCTCTGCCTCTCCCCTCTGGCCCCTCTTTCCCCCCCCTTCATCTCCCCCCTTCCCTTTGCCCCTCACATCCTGCCCCTTCTCCTCAACCCCCACATCCCGCTTCGTGTTCTCCCCCCTCCCCCCTGAACTCATCCCTCCTCCCCCACGCTCAGGGAGCAATGCGTCGGTAGGTGTGCTGGAGGTTCAGGGCTGGTGGAGTTTTTCAGAGATTTCTTTAAACTCAAGGAAATATGTTGGGAGACAAGTTGGGGTTCCAGAATTCTCAAGAACAAACACAAACAAACTCAAGGAGCTTTTTTCTCATGTCCTCATCCCTCCTCCCCCACGCGCAGGGTGCAATGCGGCGTCACATGGTAGCAGGCTGAAGGAGGTGGGGCGTGTAGGCAGTGCTGGGCTGAAGAGTCTTGGCTACTTTCCGCACGCACCTCCCACTTAACCCTCCCATCACAGGGAGCGATGCAGCAGCATGTGCCGACAGGGTTGAAGGAGGAGGGGCAGGAGGTGCAGGGTTGGAGGAGATCAATCCCCTCCCCTCCCCCACATTCCCCACCCCCCTCCCACTTGAATCCCCCATGGCAGAGGGTGTGATGAGGCGCTGCGTTCTAGCGGGACTGAAGGAGGTGGGCACGGGCGGTGCGAGTGGGAGAACCAAATGTGTGGCGGTGGCACCTAACGTGGAGGAGATGCCTGGGGCAGGTGAGGGGGAATGGGGGAAAGAGGTAGGGGGTAACAGTGAATAATGTACAAGGGGGGGCAGGGGAGAGGAGGGCAGGGGAGAGGGGGGCCGGGGAGCGACAGGGGGGCGAGGAGACGAGGGTAGGTGAGCGGCAATGGGGAGGGGAGAGGAGGGTAGGTGAGCGGCTGGGGGGAGGCGGTGCGCAGCGGGAGGGCCAAGTGTGATATGGCACCTAATGTGAAAGAGGTATCTGGGACAAGTGAGGGGGATGGGGGAAGGGGAGCTGCATACGGGAGGGGAGAGGAGGATGGGGGGTGTGATGATGCATAGCGCACGAATGCATGGCGGTGGCGCCGGTGCTGGAAAGGTTGCTGTGGAAGGAGAGAAGGTGAAGGGCAAAGGACAAAAGATGCCGCTGGCACATCCATCACGCTGGTGGAACGCTGGCCTCACGCGCATCCTGTCAGGTGCCACTGCACAGAGCACTTAAAGCTCCAATCAACCCACCCACCCCACTCCCCCACCTTGCCCTATCCCCAGGCGGTCTTGATGCACGCAGCATTCTCAGCGGTCCTCTTCCCTCCCTTCCGCCCTGTCCCCTCCACCTCGCTCTCTCCCCACACTGTTTCCAGGTAGTCTTGACGCAGTCCTCACAGCCATCTTATCAAATGCCACTATGTGCAGCATTCTTGTCATTGTGGCTCTTTCTAAACGCGCCTTGCCAAGGTCAGTGCCAGTTAAGGTGAATAAAGGCTGAGGTGGGGTGTGGTGCTATTAGATCAAATAACACATGGTGAGGTGAGAAATGGAAGGGGTGCAGATCGAGGTTGGCTGTTGGTTGGTTCTATCCCGGAAGTGCATGCATGAGCGGTAATGTGCGCAGCATTCCCGTCGTTGTGCCTCGCTTTGATTCTGCCTCATCTAGGTAAGCACGCCGTCTGACTGAGCACAAAGGGGGTGGGTGGGGGAAAGGTGGTCAAAGGTGGAGGAATGTGGCGCGTCTCTCCAGTCGCCGAGAGGGGAAGACAGCACGTTTGCACCTAGCCTGGCCGAAGGTAACTGCCGATGAAGGGAGGTGCAGCAAACAAGTACAACAAGGGACCAGGCGCGTCCTTTGCGGAAGTTATCAATCTGTGGAGCAGAGGTTGTTCAAGGCACAAAGGACCAGGCGCAATTGGGGAAAGAGGGAGGGAGAGGAGAGCAGACACCCAGCCACACGCGAGCACCCGCTCACATCCCACCAGCCAAGGCCCAGCCGCCCTTCCATCAGTCAGCCAGGGAGATGGGTGATGTTGAGTGATGCTACCATTCGCATTCACGTCTGTCTGCCTCCCATCATATGTTCGTGCGTTGCATGCGTGTTGTGAGTGTGTGCAAGAATTTGTGTTTTGTGCGGTTTGGTTTTTCTGAGTGTGTGTGTGAATGTTATTTGGCTTGAGCAGATATCTGAAGTGACTCCTCTGCTCAAGAGCTTTCCGAGGAACCAAGTATCGCTTCAATCGGAGCACGAACAAGAAAGTTACGAACGTTGGAGTTCGTATGCTTTTGATATTTGGTTGTGGTGACTATGGGAAGTTGTGGGGTTGACTCAATATGGGGTACAGACTTTTGGGGGTTGGGAAATTCGTCTTTTCTACTGTAGTTGCTGCCAAATGGTTGGGAGAAACCAAACCAGGTTGGCAAGTGTGGCCAAGTTGGGTTGAGGTGGATTGTGGAGGTTGGGATAGTGACAAAGGTCAAAGTTGGGTTGCCTATGGGGAAGGGAATTGTGTGGCATGGAGTTTCCTTTGGTTGGGGACTCCTTGGGACCTTCCCTCTCGTCCTCCTCATCCCTTCCACCTGGTTTAGTGCTACTCCAATTCTCTTGTGTGAACTTGTGTGACCTTTGTGATTGAGTTAAGTTCTTATGGCAGCATACCCCCCTGTGCGCCGAAATTGATAAGTCGAGATTTACTTCACCTCTTGATACGTTTCAACTTGGGAATTGTAGCCACGGAGTAGGGCTACAACATATATGAGTTTAGTGAAGTTTTGACAGTGCACTTTTCGTCGACGGCGTTTCTTGTGAACTCGACTTTTCTGTTCAGAAACTAGGCCCAACGATGTTGAGATATTTTTGGCTCCTAATCTTCATAGACTCCGTCCTTAGTCTCTAACAGGTGAAACAGAGGGCACTCTGGATTATGCCGTGTGGATATATAAATGATTAGAAACCACTTGCAACAGCGGTTGTGGGGGTGCTTGGGGGGGGGGGGGGGGGGGGGGGGGAACAGATGGTCGCTTTGGACCCATCATGTTGGGATGTTGGGATGCAAGCATCAGTCCCGCCAGTTAATACGAATGTGCAGTGAGTGAAGGGCATCCAGGTTGCAGGCAAGAAGTACTGCAGTCAAATGCGGAGTTCTGCCACAAGGGAGAATTTCCAACCCCAATAGTGGCAATTTGGAAAGAACAAAGCTTTTGTAAATACACAACTGCACTACACTAGCTAGGTTCGTATGCTTTAAAGCATATGATTGGTTTCCAGCGAATGCTGAACTTGGACAGTGTCCTTGTAGCATTTGAAGATAATGGTTTATTGGGGTTCTTCTAGAATACGCTTAGTTGATTAAGCAAAAATAATGCTTAATTTTGCTCTGTTAGTTCAACACATCTTATTATGCTACTGCAACCATATTCAAGCTAGTTTGCAAGCAAGTATGTCCCAGTGGGTAGATTATCATATTTGGTTTTAGAGGTCGTGGGTTCAACTCTCAAGAGCTGCACTCTCTCTTCTCATTATGCCCAACATGACATTCCCACACTCCACCACTCTCACCCACAATGAAGTGTGGTCACAGTTGGCTTTGCCATCTGTCCACTCATCCCATACTCACCTTGCTGGCCCCTATGGTGTGCCACATGCTGCCATGTAGGCTGTGTGAGAATAACAAGGAATGAATGATGGAACTAGAAAGCAGATGGGTACAAGTATGAAACACAAAAGTGTTGTACCCTCTAAGGACTACCCCACTACAGCGTAACAGACTATAGTAGATATAAGTTTGACACACCCCCATAGGCAAAGTGGGGGAGAACAAGGGGTCACAAAACCAGTCAAGAAAGACAAAGCAAGCTCAGGGTGGATCACAAAGTCACCACGCAGTCTGAGCACAAGCAAATTGCCACAAGGCCAGTTCACATGCAGAGATATATAAAGGAGAACAACAATACACCGAATACAACCTAGCAAGAGTATGCATGCAGGTATATGTATACAGAGTACAGTACAGGCAGAGTCAAGAAGAAAGTAAGTGAGGCACACTAGGTACAAGGCCTAACACAGTACAGAAACGCTGATGATCACAAGGCTGAAGTGCATCCGGGTCTCCCTCAGGGGCCAGCAGCATGGACACGAGATGAGGTACAGAAGCAGCAAAGCACTCAAACTCCTCCTGTCTGTCCTCAAGAACGTCCGTGCCAAGAGCACACTCACCCCCGACGGACGGAGGACAGACAGACACAGACGCCGACGCAGCAACAAGAGCAGTGGCGTAGTCTAGGCGACAGGCGGCAGCAAAGTCAACAAGCTCAGCAACAAGAGCAGACGCAGCAGAGGACTCAAGCAGAGGGTTAGTGACAGCAGTGGCCAGAAAGCGCGTGGCAGCAGGACTGGTAGCACGAAGAGAGTCAGACTCCGGGTCCGGAACGTCAGGAAGAGAGGACGCAGGAGGAGACGGAAGAGGAACACGCTGTGGAGCAGTAGAAGGACGCAGAGTCATAGAGTGAGTGCCTGGGACAGGAGGGAGACGCGGACGCGAAACACAACCAGCGCGAACAGTATGGACAGGCGATGCAGAACGAGACGCAGGCGACACAGGACGAGACTCAGGCACACGACGCTCCGTAAGACCTCTAGTCGGTCCAGAGTAAGGACCGGGCAGTGGAGAGGCTGGCCGCAACTGCGACTGGGACTGGATAGGCGGCGGACTCAGGAAAGGAGGAGGAGGACTAGGAGAAGGTGGGGAGCCAAGAACCTGCTGAAGGAGCGGAACGTAGTACGGCCGCGGCCGCGCAGCGCCTCCAGAAACAGCAGAGACAGAACCGGTACCCTCAGCCCCAGGGTCTCTAGTCCCAGCAGCACCTCCAGCAGCTCCAGTAGCTCCAGCACCTAAAGCAGCTCCAGCACCAGCAGCACCAGCAGCACCAGCACCTCCAGCAGCTCCAGTAGCGCCAGTACCTCCAGCACCTCCAGCAGCTCCAGTAGCTCCAGCACCTCCAGCAGCTCCAGCACCAGCAGCACCAGCAGCACCAGCACCTCCAGCACCAGCAGTACCAGCACCAGCAGCACCTCCAGCAGCTCCAGTAGCGCCAGCACCAGCAGCACCTCCAGTAGCTCCAGTAGCGCCAGAACCTCCAGTAGCTCTAGCAGCACCCCCAGCTCCAGCAGCACCTCCAGCAGCTCCAGCAGCAGCAGCACCTCCAGCACCAGCAGTACCTCCAGTAGCTCCAACAGGATTAGCACCTCCAGTAGCTCCAGTAGTACCAGCACCTCCAGCACCAGCAGCACCTCCAGTAGCTCCAGCAGCACCTCCAGCACCAGCAGCAACTCGACAGCGCCGAGAGTACCACTCACGAAGCCGCTGTGGAGAGAGGGGCTCCCGCCGCAACACAGCACCCTCAGGCTCCACACCCCCAGGCTCAGCACGCCCAGACTCAGCACCCCCAGACTCAGCACCCCCAGTCTCAGCACCCCTAGCAGCACCTGAGTCGACAGCTACCTCGACCGGCTCGGCAGGGTCTACCTGGGACACACCTGAGGGGGCACGACCCTGGGGGGGGAGGGGGTCTACCGGGGGAGTACCTGGTGCGAGGAAGAGCGGCGGGGGGGGGAGAGAGGCAGTGCGGTAGGGAAAGAGACGGTAGTACGACACCGACTCGTCAAACGTGACGTCCTGAGAGGATAGAACACGACGCGAGGTGTGGTGGTAGAACTGCAACCCGGGTGCGTCAGGAGGGAAGCCAAGGAAGACACAGGGAACGGCACGGGAGGACAGCTTGTCCGCAGTAGTATCGCGGACAAAAGCTCGAGATCCCCAGACACGGAACGTGGACGCATCGCCAACCTTCCCCGTCCACCGCAGAGTAGGTGTGGTCTCCGGCAAGGAGACACGAGGCTGAAGGTTGATCTGATGCGCAGCGTACTGAACCGTGAACGGCCACAGAAAATGGGGAGCAGCCGCAT